GGGGGGGGGGGGGGGGGGGGGGGTTAAGATGTCCGCAGCCTTACCCCTACTCTATAAGGGCCGAAAGACAAGTACTATAATTCATCTGCCTGATAAAAACCGTTGTGGTTCATCTGACAATTTGCTTGAGAAAGATGTACATCTAAATCAATCTTTACCAGGAAAAGAGATCAACTCAGAAATGGCCAACTTTAGAAGCTTACAAAGAGAGGGCAAAGATGGCACTTCGACTTAAGTTTTCTCATTATCTCAAGAAGTTAAACTTGATACTATCATAGGCATGTCCCAAGAATGACTGGTGTAATTGATTCTCTCCGTGATCAGTCATCTCAAGCTTATTATCGTCTGTTCTTTTATCAAGCCTCAATCTGGCTGCTTTTAACCCTCTAGAAAACCTCTCTAAGAGAAACCTGTCATTTCTGGCTTATTTGTACTCATCCTTAGCTAGCTGCAGTACAAAATTTATGGGGGGGGGGGGGGGGGGGGCATGGGTTGTTGAGAAAGTTTGGTGGCAACCGTAATATTCTGCTATGGTACATATAACATGTCAGCGCTCACTTAGTCCTATATGGATAAACTCGCTATTACTTAGAAAAATATCATAATAGGCTATTATACACTGTAGTTTCTTTTAAGAAACAGAATTTGGTTGCGTTGGAGTAGAGAGTTTCCGATTTGTTTCTCTTTGTTGTCTATTAGATTACTGATAGTTTCTTCTGTCTCTCCCCAGTGCCGTTGACAAATTCAAGAAACAATTTGCATATCTTGAAGAGCATTATGGAAAAGGAGGAGGGGCTGTTGCTCCGCCTGAGAGGCAGCACTCATCATCCCTTCCCAGGTTAGTCCCCGGCATCATGCTAGTTGTTCAAATTCCTTTCTCCTTTGACTATTTTTGTTACTTCTGCTAGCTTTTCCCATTAAAGGAATGTCCTGCAAGTTTTGGCTATCAGATATTTCTCAATTCTTGCACAACTTTAGCCACTGATAAATTTTGGATACAGGGCTTGTGTATTATATTCAGATAATTCAGTGCAAAATCCAGTTGAAGTTGCAAATGATCTTTCTAAGTGCTCTATCAAAGAAGGCGAGAGACCACATGTAGAGCGGAGTTCAATGATCCCCATGACAAGGCTGCCTCTCCAAGTTCCCCAGAATGTTCAAGGTTTGATTTCACTAGTTTGCTAACACTTCTAGTTAGCGTCCAATATTCTGATATCTTTTCATATTTTAAATGCTAGAAATATGTTTTCCTGAGAGTAGTACTTAATGTGTTTCCGGGAGTACTATTCAATTTTTCTCTTTTGATTGTTGCCAGCTATAAAAATTAGCATTCCCTTTTCGTATTGATGATGGTGTATGCACTCATGATTATATTCTTTCTTCTGCATTGAAATTGGGAAAGACTGCACTTCCTTGTGAATTGTTAATGAATTAACATATGCAAATGATTTGTTGGATATCTACATATGTAAAACTTTGAAACCTGGAAAAGACAGGTGAAACACTCTGTCTTGCCAAAATTGTGAGCACAGTAGTACTCCTCCATCTCAGGTGTCTGGCATAGTCCAGTTTACCCAGAAGTTGTTTAGGAAGAGAGTCCATAGTTGTCTTACTGTAGCTTAATGCAAAAATAGGTGCTTGATGTTCTCCGGCCCTTTTTCCACGTCGATAGCCTCTATTGCAGAGCTGAATTCCTCTTCTCTGGAATTTCTCTTTTGTCAAACATGCTTGGTGAACTACACTTATAAGAGAAAGAAGCCCCTTATATGGTACTTCGGACTTCTAAATTGTCTTCCATTTTGCTGCACTGTTATCTCTGTTACAGTAAGAGATTTGTAGCAGAATTTCACTGTGAACACCGCTTTCCTCTTTTATTTCCACCCCAAAATGACCTTTACATCAGATAACTCTTTGCCTTCTTCAAGGGTCTTAAAAGATTCTGCAACCTCCTCCAGCTCCCAATCATTCAGGTTCCATCTGAACCTTATATCCCAACCATCCGTAGATTTTGCGATGGGCTAAAATCTGTGTTAGCGGACAGGGTGAAGAGTTGGGGAAATTATTCTTTCGAAGGGGTATGTCCCAATCCTATTGTCTAGCCAGAATGAAATCCTTCTGCCGTTCTCCAATTTTGAAGCCAATTCTTTTATTAAATTCAGGCCACAAAGCCCTAATATACTTCCAAACTCCCACCCATGAGGCACTAATACTGTGTCAAGGATGAAGTTAGTTTCACTAATGAGACTCTACGTCAAGTTCTGTTCTCTTCTGGCTCATTAGTATTCTTCTAAACGGAAAACAGATAGATAAGACTGATACATGATGCCCTAGTGCGCATACCCTAGTTGTATAGAAGAGAAACATCACTATATAAGCGATATGAGGTTGCTTTAATGCTTAAGAAAGTGTTATTATGTTATTAACAAGAGGAATCGTCATGCAGGTGGTGCTGCAAGACCGGGGAGGGTCGTTAGTTCAGTGATGCGCTACAACAACTGTGGAGCAGCAGTGACGACAGCAGAGGTCATTGAACAGCGGAAAATTGCAAGGAACCCTGGTGGTCCGACTCAATATCCCATTTCTAATGCTTCATACCCTAGAAGACATCCCAGCTGTAAAAATGAAAGGGGTGAGGATAGTAGTGACGGTTCCAATGGTGTGCAGCCAAAACCTGAACAGTACATGGCAAGAAAAGTTGCTGCAGCTCCAGGTGGACCTGGTAGTCAATGGTATTAAATTTATGGGATCTCCGATTAGCCATCTCACACTCAGCTTCCCAGTTCAGCCATGCACTCAGCTTACATTCCGTAAGGATGGTTCACTCATAAAACACACCAGATCCAAGTTAATTTGACTGTCAGCCATAAGTTATCAGCAAGGCCAAGTCCAGCATTGCTTGGTAATTGACTCGAGGCGAGCACTTGAACTTGAAGAGTCCTAATATGTGATTTTGGTGGGTTCACATGTCTACGTACAACTCGTTACTTGTATTCCTTAACTTTAGAAGGTTCAACATGGAGTCTCCTCCATGACCCCACTCATGCTCTGATCGGAATAGAAATAGAAGGCACTGATAAAGGTGGATGTTGGTATCTGATTACAAGAACTACTGGTATCAGTTACTTCATGTTTCTGTTTTCTTTTCCCCTCCCTTAATTCTTTGCAAAAATATTGTAGACACGCTACTTTGTTATGACTAAGACAATGATAATCTTAACGAGTAACCTGTAACATTCTTTACTTAAATAAGGACCTCTATGTTTCTAAATCTTCTGGACTCATCCGTAAAGCACAACAGGTGACATAATATTTTTGCTTTGAATCATATGCCTGATCTGCCTGCCTGCCATGGTGATGCGACGGCCGTTCTGAAACTTGTTTTTTCTTCTGAATCCCTTTTTTGAGGCAATGTTGACTTGGATGTAACACTAGATATGTTTCAATCTATATCTTCTGGATCCCTCCTTTTAAGTTGATGTGAACTTGTATGTGACTAACAAGACATGTTGCAATCAAGATCAGTCACTCATCTATGCTTAATTCCAATTCAGTAGGCATCAGCTACGTCAATCCTCAATTACTCATTCTGCTTTATTCAGGCTGATTTCATTCCAACACTACATATAGCTACGCAACATACACTCAACTAGTTTAATCCAATTAGTTTCGCCTTTGTGAATCCATTTAGTCAGTATCTTCCATTTGAATATCCTGATTTCATTTTCTTCTTCTTTTGATTTCATTTTCTTCCATTCTTCGCTAAGTTTGCATGAATTCTGGATGATTCAAGGTCAGAAAGCAATTGTGCAATTTGCATATTTCAATCGGTGTCTTGGTCACATTCTGATGCATGGTGATAGATCAGTACACATCTGTGGACTTCCATATTTTGCCGCAAGTGCATGAGGATATTTTGCATCAAATTTCAGACAGCTGACGCAAAATTCAAAGTCAATTTCTTGACAAAATCATCGTTGAGGAAGGCCAGTCGGAGGGATTTTAATTTCCCAACTTCTGCAGAAACAAGTGTAGCACTGAAATAGAAAGGAATAAAACACTTCATATTTGAATAACAGTAGAAACCGGAATATCCATCATCAATCATACATGAGAGTCGAGACAGGACACCAAACCCAGACCAGTGAGCGAAATTTGCTCAACTTGACAATATTACAATCTTCAGTATAAAAAGGGAAAGAAAGAAATCACACTATACCAGCATCAACCGCTGCTTAGACTCGCACAACTGTTGACTTCGTCCTAAAATGAGAACATTTAAGCACCTACTACACATATTGCAGGCACCTCCTCATCCACCCTAGGTTAAAGGTCCATTTGCTCAGAAACAGAACACGAGTGACCAACGAAATTCCAGGACTATATGCACTTTGGTAATAGAACTAGTAATAGAATCAATAACTGTACCAATTGGAACTGTTAAAAATTTTTGATGACAATGTCATTATAAATTGCTACACAGCATCAAATGGAAACCTTGCACTCAATAAATCCTTTGCTTCACTCTTCTTCCATTCACATCAGTGCCATCTAGAATGTGTCCACCATGTACATAAGAAATGATTGCATGTTCATTCATCCCAGCGACATACTTCAGCAATTCTGTGATGACAGAAGGACAACTCTCCTTCAAGTGATCAAATCCCTCTGATTGCATCACAGCTGAAAACAGATAAAAACCAGTCAAAGATGCATTTAACAGGCCAGATCAAATCCCTCCGATTGCATCAGAGCTTAAACAAATAGAAAACCAGCCAAAGATTATTTAACAGGGACAAATAGCTGATTGCCTGCAGGATAAATGTAAAACAAATAGCAGAAGTGCAGACATATGACATCTAGCCAAAAGTTTGTTTTGACAGCAGTGTAAACAAGATATTTACAGCAAAACATCCAACCAGGAGAAGATCTTTTGATAGCCCATTCACAAATTATTCACTTTCCCCTAGGAACAATTGCAAGGTTTCAGTGCAGAAAAGTGAAAGACGTCAATTCTGCAAAGTACTATATAGCAAATATGAAAAACACAAAGACTAAGATACTAGCAAGCACAAGATCACCAATAAGTGAGTAGAATCTCCAGTAGAGGAAAATATTGGGATGTGTTGCTTGGTGGCTTAATTGGCAAAGGTGAAAAGCGCACTCAAAAAGTCAAGCAAGATATTCATATAATAACCAGGCTGAAACAACCTTCCACATCAAGCCAAATAAAGAGACCACACAGAAATCAATATACTTCTCCAAGAGTTTTCACTATGATGAAATGGTTGCTAATATATAAAAAAACACCGATAGATGAGTAGTTATCCAATCAATAGGCGTCGAATACTTCACCTTTCAAGTTTTCAGGCAATGCAATGAACTTAAGACACACAGATTTCAGTTGGACACAATGATGCTGATCTGCCAAAGCTAAAGTTGTAGCAACGGTGTTGATTGTAACATCTTCGCAAAGCTTAGCCTCACAAAGTGCTCTCAATCTCTCAAGACCATACTGGTCAGCTGCAGCAAGCAGATGCTGAGCCATCAAAGTGACTGCCCATTTTGTATCGAGACCCACAAGCTCTTGTAAATCAGGAAGGGCATCCCAATAGATGAAGTGGAGCAACGCCTGGAAAAAAAGCAAAAAAAGAAAGTTTTATCAGATAAAACAAAAACTATGTCTTAGTACCAACTACCAAACAAGTTGGGGTCGACTATATGAATCCTCACTGAATATTCCCATTTAAATTCATATCAGACGCCAAAATTTTTAAAAAATACTAATAATAAATCAGAGATGCCAAGTTCACTACTCCCAAACTTAGAAAAAATAAGCAATAATAATGAAGCAGCTATTTGATGACAAAATCTAGGCAGAGGTCTCAGGTTCAAACCCCACTAAGTTATTTCTTCTCATCCGTCCAAGCCTTGGTGGACTTGCTGGCGGGAGGTGGCAGGTATCCCGTGGAATTAGTCGAGGTGCGCGCAAGCTAGCCCAGACACCACGGTTATCAAAAAATAAAATAAAAAATCTAGGCAGATAACTGAATGCCTAGTGCAACGATAAAATGATAAAAGCAAAGCATAGGGAAGCATACAAAGAGAAAAGCAATAAGCCTGCTGGACTATAGGCAGGAAAAACAATATGCAAACATTTTGCAAAGCCAGATTACTAGAGCCAAAAACACCATAACCAACATAGAAACATTAGGAAATATAACAGGGAGACGCACAACAACCCCAGGGCCTGCCGGTACCTTAGGTGTTTTGAGCTCAACTCCATTATTGCAAGCCAAGCTCACCTCAAATACCACTAAGCTCTGAAGAAATCTTGAGCTTGAACTCATTTGGCTCAGTGAAACAATGTACCCCCCTCCCCCCTCCACATTCTCACATAATACTAATCCTAAAGAAAATATTTTTTTTTAGTTTGTGAGCACAGAAGAAGCTCGAGCAACACAAGCTCGGCTACCTTAACGTGTTCGGCCAAAATTGAGTTCAAGCTTAGCTCATATAATAACGCAATCTTTCGCCACCAGTTCTGCTAATTCATGGCTCTAACCTCACTGCTGATAGTATGGAACAACGCTATTGCTTCTTGCCACTACCTGCTTTACATGTATTTTTTCTTTTAATAGTAGTAGTATCTACACCAATTTGCACACCTTGACTATTCTAGTGATTGCGTGCTACCTTCCACCAACACATGTATTGGGTAACTCTATCCACCAAGTTTAGGCAAATGGAAAGATCAGCCTTTGCTGAGATTTGAACCCTGGTCTCCAAGGTTTACACCCGCTTAATTGACTACTAGGCCACACCCTTAGGTGATACTTTACATGTAATTCCATGAGAACAAAAAAAGAATTACAAGAAGAGGATTGATGAGAAGGTCAAGTCCTGTTCTTTCATCCTAATAAACCTAAAGGTAGTGGTGTCAATGGCTTGTTTGAGGCACACAGGAAGCCACAAAAGCAAAGTTAAAGCCAGGCTACGTGCTTTGCCTCACTTAGCTGGTGTTTCCATGTAGACACTAAGGTGCTATGTTATGTGCCTCGTAACCTATGGGCTATCTTTAAGAAGGCAGTACTAGACAATAAATATAGTTGGTAAAGCGATGTGTTAATTTTTAAAAACAATATGAAAGAAATTTACTGATCAAGAATTAAGGATTAAATTAAAATATTCAGAAAACTAACTCCAAAAACATAAAATTGCATCTTTTCATCTAAATCAGAAATTTAAAATAGTTTCTGGACTTGATTCGCATGATTTTACTTCATAGAGTTCACTTAATTATAGTTACTTCGATTTTTTTAGTCCAAATAGTTTCTGTAGCATTTGCAGTTCATTTTCCTCTGCATACATATATTTTTTTTGTTTTTTCTACTTTTTAACACCTTTCTTTGTTAAAGCCCATGCTTTTTAACTCTGCTTTGCCCTTAAATCGCAACAAAGGTTGGTACTTTTTGCTTCAGACTACAATCGCAATTAGTAGCTCCAGAAAATTCAACCCCACCCCCCATCACCTAAATCCCATTAAACATAAAAATCAAGACCGCAAACTATAATCAGCATAGGATTTCAGCTCATAATACTAAAGTTTACTCTCCTCCCCTTTAACCGACATCTCCATAAGGCACATGCTACCAACTGCAACAACTTCGTAGGCATAGTAGCATGTGATTCTAACTTGCATGTATGATATGACCCATAGTTTCCCTGATACAATATTTTCAATATTTTTTTGAAAAAGGTAACAGAGTACATCATCATCATTTTGTCCTTTGCATTGTGCAACAACAATAAACGCAGTGAGAATCCCACAAGTGGAGTCTGGGGAGGGTAGGATGTACGACCTTACCCCTACCTTTGTGAAGGTAGAGATGTCCTGTGCCTTGTGCAACTTCCCGTAATTATTTCACAATGAATCATGATAGTAAAATCCTCATAGAGAGACCTTGTTGAAGTTATAAATAAAAGGGGACAAAAACATTCACCAGTACTTTTTATAAGCAGACTGGCAGAATCTAACATCTAAATACTAATTTGATCACATAAAATGCATGTCAAAGACCATAACACATTTTTGATAGCTTTTCCAGAGCACTAGTGGACTACAGAAGACTCTAATCCCTTGTTGTCCACTGCCTAGGAATCTTTATTGAGCCAAAATCCAAATTCCAGCACCAATATAAACAAACACCACACATCATATGCTAATACACAGTTTCACCACAATAGGAGAATAAATAGCTGTGCACATAC